AGTAGTAGTAGTAGTAGTAGTAGGTAAGTAGTAGTAGTAGTAGTAGTAGTAGTAGTAGTAGGTAAGTAGTAGTAGTAGTAGTAGTAGTAGTAGTAGTAGTAGTAGTAGTAGTAGCAGCAGCAGCACCAGCACCAGTGGCAATGGTAGTGATCGTCGTTGTCGTCGTCGTCATCGTCGTCTTTGTTTTTGTCTTCATCGTCGTCGTCGTGGTGGTGGTGGGTGTATTCTTGTTATTGTTGAATTGCTAGTATTTACCCCACCCACATCTTCTGAACTCCGACCTCCTCGGATCCCTCCTTCGCTTCGTTCCTCGACTGCACACGGTTTTTGGCTTGGGGGTTCAGGCTTGCGGTGTTGGGTCTGGGGTTTTGGGTTTACGTGCCTCTCACCTAGCTCGGAAAAGCCCGCATTGTAGTTTTGAGGTTTGGGGTTCAGGGTTCAGGATTTGGCTACCATGGATGAAAGCAAGTTTTAACATGCAAAAATGTAATTAGCAGTTCACTAACAACGTGATTGAGGGCTAAACCCTATAGACCTTGACCCTTAGACCCTAAACCACGAAAACCTAAACCGCCCGAGAGTCTGTGGCAGCTCCACAGACAATCTTGGCTCCGGGAATCGCATGCGCTTCCGCCGCCGCTGCCGGAACCACTGCGACACCTCAGGGACCGATTGACCCTTAAGAAGTATGGGCCACCATAACCTCTACCTCCCATACCGTATGTCAAATATGACCTAAAGCCTGTTCAGGGTTGCTTTGGTCCCCCGGGCACTTTGCACTGGCCCCGAAAGCGCAGAGGCATTTCACGGGCCGCGAGCTGGGAGGTCCGCTCCGGTCCTTGCTTTCAGCTGGAGATGACGAGACTTAGGGCGGCGAGGGTTTCAGGCTGTTTTTTCCTAGTTCGGAGCTTCAGGTACCGATGTTTTTCGCATGACAGCAAACCTAGAGGTCCCATGAAGGACACCGAGAGTCTGAAACGTCCAAAGGTCTATCCTCGCCATCCAGCTCATGCTTGAGGGCGTCATTGGCAGAGTTTCCGAGCTCCGGTCCCGAGATCCTCTGTTCCTCGACCTCCTGAGCCATCTGTAACTCTTCCAAAAGCTCCAGGATGCCTTGGCTGACGTTGTTCAACTCCTCCACGGCTGCCGCACTTTCGGGTTCCAGGCTTGCTGCTTCCTGTCGCCCAGTGCTGCACAGCTCTCGGGCCTCCTCGCCACCCTTATCGGACAAGGCCTTGTCAGATTCACTCTCCTCGTCTTCCTCTTCCTCCTGCTCCGCCTCTTCCTCCTCTTCCTCCTGCTCCTCCTGGTGCTGCGCGCTCATTCGGCAAGTGCTGGGCGCAGCTCTTCCATCCTCGTCCTCTGCGGCCTCGGCCCTTTCGGCCGAAACGTCGGTTTTCGGGGCCGGCTCGGCGGAGAGGTCCCGAGCCAACCTCCGCAAGGGACCCGCGCAAAGGCCTGGGTTGCGCAGCTTCCTCTTCCCAACCCCGGCGATGTTGAACGGTTTAGGCTTTTGCGTTTGGGCGGCTGGTGTTTTTTTAGGGTCTCGGGATTGGGGTTCAGAACAGTTGACAAGAAGTCCGCGATACCAAACAGAAGGCTCCGTATAGCAGCCGAGATGCTGGCCAAGGCCGCTTTGAGCATAAAGCCACTCCTCGCGAGCTTTGCATGCCAGAGGAGTTTGCAGCTCTCCGGCAGCACAGGCTGCACCAAGAAGCCGCAGGCCACCTACATTCGTTCGAACCCCTGCCATGACACCCCGAACCATGAATCCCCGAGTTACCCCAGAAACTCCAGAATCATTACATATAAGGAATATATCTCTAAAGCCCCAAATCATCCAAATCTCGAACCCCTAACTCCTATAGCATCCCAACGTCTGCTTGCAGACCTCTGCAAGCCCCACCAAGTCGGCTAGGCCCGGCTGCCTCGGTTCTCATTTTGGTCCAATTTCTCCGCCTAGCTGACTGGGTCGTGCGCAAAGCCAGGACATCAGAGCTGTGTATGGAAGTACGGCTTCTACTACTAGGTATCACTATAGTAACCCCATGACAAAGAAATTTAAAACCCACAATTCCCGCCCACCAAAATGCTTCAAGGGAGACAGGCCATGCCGTGTTCTCTCACGCACGCCTTTCTACCGTACCTCATATGCTGTCCTTGCTATGGTACCTAAACTACAACTTAAGCACCACCTGAACAAGAGCCCAGGTGCTTGGGAAACCAGCCGAAGCTCCGTCCGCTTCTTTTCTTCTCAATGGGCTCCTGTAGCTTTGGAAGGCTTTTTTCTCGAGCGTCTAGCATAAGGGGCTAAGGGGCTTGAATAAATGGGAACAAGGCTTGGGGAGATACTACGGTGTACTTGTGTAGAGACCGAATTAAACGCATTTTACTACCAATTGTGTTACTTGTATAGGGCTTCTGGATCGGGGAAATAAACCGTGGTTTCTAGGGCTCATTTCTGAGGGGTCAGGGTCCTTAGGAACCGTTTTGAGGGCGTAAGGATGGCCTTTGCCACCCCTAAACCCTAAAACCCTGTGGGCCCGTGGGCCTTTGCCGGCTGAAACCAGCACGCCGCACGGCCATCCGGGTGCACGCGAAGACGCCGCCAGCGAAGCAGCTCCAACCCACCTCCCTCGACCTCGGCTCGACAGCTTTTGAAGGTGTATTAGGATTTAGGGTTTAGGGTTTATAGGGCTTAGGGTTTAGAGTTTGGGGCGTTTTTTCCATTGATAAGGCTTGTAAAGGGTTCTAAACGGTTGTTTTCAATTTGGCTCCGAAAAGGGCTTCGGCCACCGGCTTAGGGGTTGAAGAGGGAGTTCTACAACAGGGCTCTGCAAGGTTTCTGTATGAGCTCATAGGGCCGAAAGTGTTCCGCAAGCGCTTCTAGAAGGGCTCAGGGGCTGGGGTTTATGGCGATTGAATTTGGGCTGGGCATTGAGGATTTTCGGCTTGGGATTAGGCTGAAGCCTTTGAGACTTTTGAGCGCGACGAATGCTAGCACAACAGCGACTAGAGTACGATGATTACAGCTGCAATCGCCGACAACTGCGCAAGAACTGCATATCATGCCATCGATCCTGACCCACGGGCCCCCACCATCACTCGCAAGCACGATACTACGACCTGCTACGATGACATGTGCTGCTTGCGCCATGGCCTTCCTCTTCACTACTCCCGGAATGCTACAAAAAATAACATAACATGGTATAATATGCTGTGCTATATTAACATTAACATACTATGGTGACATACTGTTGCAAACAACGATAATATAATCATGATAGTGCTATAATTACTGTATACCGTAGAGAAACCACCGAGGCCAGGGGACGCGGAGCAGGCTGCAGGAGCTGCAGTCGTGCTCGGGCTCCGAGACCTCCCCGACGACTTCAAAAGCCGATACGATATGAGATGCTTTATGACTTTTATAGGATAGTAAGTAGTGTAAAGATGATTTTAATAGTATAGTAGGTAGTGTAAAGATGTACACAGTATATCATACATATCTGGTATCTAAAACCTAGTGTCTCACACAAAAATATACTTTATTTGGGTACTGCCCTCCATACAGAAACAGGTCTTACATATCTATGTCATACATAGTATTCAAAGTGGGGGGGAGTATTCAAACTTTAATGGTTGCATTACAGTATTGGATAAAGAATATAGGCATGTACGAGTACTATATAGTATGCAGTGTATAGAACCTACCATCTACTATCTAGTCTGCAGTATGTTCTAGTATCCAGAAAACAGTGGATAATGGAAAGTACACAGAAACATATAAAGTACCATTTAGAACATGCGGAAAATGGAATGCAGTGTATAAGGTATGGTATATAATACACGCAGCATACATTGCAGACATTGTATTAGAATAGTTAGTATAGCATCGTCAGTGTGGTATAGCACAGAGCAGGATATAGTATAGTACAGTATGGTATAGTATAGTATAGTATAGTATAGTATAGTGTAGTGTAGTATAGCATAGTATAGTATAGTAATTATAGCATAGCAGTTATAGTATAGTGTAGTTTAGTATGACCTAGCACAGTAAAGTTATGGTATAGTATGGTCTGGTAAAGTTTAGTAGCTAGTGTAGTATAGTAGAGACAGTCTATCCAATATTACACGCATGTCACGGAAAGAATGAAGCTTCAGACGGGTTTATGGAGTTCAGAGTTTCTCAAGGGCTTCAGTTCCTCTAAACCCCAAACTGTAAACATAGGTGTGTTTAGGTTTAGGATTTGAGGAGGGCTTCACAGTTCAGGCAGGTAAAGGTTCTCACCAGCGCCAAGACAAGCACGAACAACGTGGTACAAGTGGCCTGGGTATTGAAGTATCATTATGCGGGGACTGGTTTCGGCACTTCAAGCTTTCTCTGGGTTCCTGCAGTAGGAACGATAGAAGGGCAGCTCATCATTACCACCATGAACATCGTCATTATAACGATTAGTCAGAAAGGTGATCTGCCGATTTCGTCTACCCCAACTCCACCTCCTGGTTCCTGTCCGTGTCCTCCACCTCTTCCAACTTCATCTCGACTCTTCCGTCATCACATCGGCGTCATCATCACTGCCACAGCCATGATCGTCATCATCCTCGTCGGTTCTCAGCAACATCAACAACTGGAGCAGCAAGCATGAAGTCGGGCTTTCATTGTAAAGTCCGTATACAGTCACCCATGCTCTGAAGCATGCCCCTATACACTTACCTAGCCCCCATAAATGGCCCCTAAACCTTCTTCATGATCCCTACAACCGTGGGTGTCGTGCCCGCCTGTAGGCCCAGGCGAGGGAACAGCGACTGCAGGAAGGCTCCACTGTAGAGTCGCTCCTGCGAGTCAAAGAGGCTTTGATACCTATGCTCGAAGATGCATAATACGAGTAGTTGTTTTGGAACTGCAACTGAACCTATACATACATACATACATACATACATACATACATACATACTTTCATACATGCATACATTCATACATACATACATACATACATACATACAGACAGTTATGCAGACTCAAACCTGTTCATCGAATTGATTGTAATTATGTAACAGCACATACTACAAAGCGAACTGTTTGCTACTAAGGCCAATATAGCATGCTGATATTTTGGCTTGCCAAAATGGTGTGTTGCTCGTGATGCGCCGCTTTGATCCTTTCGTTTGTATTGTTTCGCATGCTGGATTGATACAGTTCGCGATATGTGGCGTGGATGGAAAGGAGCATGGTCCGGGCTCTGGTTGCACGGGCAATTGCCCCCCACCCCCTTCCCCCTCCCCAAACCCTAAGATTGAACACCATATTCCGACTGAAACAGCCTTCGTTCCATGGTGCTGCAAAAAATTGTATCAGAACCACAAGTAGCAACATGCAAGGTTGCTTAAGAAGCTGTAGACATGTGTGATATACATGTATGTGTATGTGTCTGCATAGGTCAGAAAATGACGGTTTGTATTTGGATTTACGTACAAATATGTGCGTATAGGAATGCCTAAGCGTATATATGTATGTGTATGTATGTGTGTATGTGTATGCAACGTACGTCTGTGTATGTGTACGCGAATGTAGTACATGCATGCATGGATACATGGATGCCTGGATGCATGGACGCATGGATGGATGGATGGATGGATGTGATCTTATGTTAGTCAGCACCACCATGGAAGAATGCCCTTATCCTAAGCCCAGCATCCTAAACCCTAAATCAAACCCCCCAACCCTCTCCTATCAGCCCGATCCGTAATCCTTAATCTCCCAAACCCTATAATCCTTGAACTTTAAACTTTAATCCCTCATCCTAAGCCCTATTTGGCCCTACTTAAACCCTATGCCCTAAACCTTAGCCTTTCTATTTTAATTCCCAAACCCGAAACCCGAGGCAGGCTCCAGGGCAAGGCTTGCAGGTACTGCCAAAGCCAGGGTCCCTCGCAGTTCGGAGCCCGACTTGGTTTGGCCTTAGGGTATGTTAAGGGGCGAGGGATTAGGGTTTCGGGTTTAGGTTTAGGGCTTACGAACTCATAAGGTTTAGGGCTTACGATTAGGGTTTAGGGATTGAGGTTGAGGTAGGGTTTAGGGCTTGAGGTTTAGGGTTTGGGCCTTCAGGTTTAGGGTTTAGGGCTTGAGGTTGAGGGTTTCGGGATGTTTTGTCTGTTTTGCGTGTTGGTGTGGCACTTCTCGATTTGTCTGCAGCTACCTTGCGAAGGGTCTATGCTAATCTTCACGGTAACGTTCTACGCTTATCGGTTTTGGGTGGTAAGCTTATTGGGGTGTTTGGGGCGGCTGGGTTTCAAGGCGTGCAGGGGTTCATTCGGGCTCTGCAGCAGAACCATAAACCCCAAACCCCTAACTGCTAAATTACACCCTAAAACCTCTTAGAGTGAACCCTATTGGGCTCTAGGATCTAAATAGTTTAAAGCTTAGGGCCTGACGTTCTTAATCTACAGATCTTGCGGAGCTTCAGGTTTTACACTTTCGGCCCTCAAGCTCTCTTGCAGCCAGGAGACGGTAAAGCAGTTGCGGGCCGCCACCGGCGCCGGCCAGAACGGCCCAGCCGGCACTAGGCCTTCACGGCACGTAGTTCAGCTATGCAACATAAGCATCTGCTCCATTACAGCAATACAGGAATGGGAAACATAGCAACAACACTTCTGATAATGTTAGAAACAACAGTAGCAACAATGACACTAGCAACAATAAGAACAACCACTATACTAACAAGAATGAGCACAGATGATGGGCCATAGCAATACTAATAATGCGAGCTGTTGCTTCGAAGGTCGCAGTAGTGTTGGCAACAGCAGCTGAGCAAAAATCAGCAACATCAACATTGAGTAGCCCTTGTTGGTGGAACTATCGGAAGAAGCAGCATACCAGAAAGGATCGCGGCTTGCCAAGCCTCCTACGCGTTTAGGCTTTGAGGCTTAGAGTTTTGGGTTAGGGTTGAGGGTCTCGGGTCTGAATTCTTGAGCACCTTTTCCCCCCTTGCCAATCCAGCTTAGCGGAATCCACTTTGGTGGAAGGTCTCGGGTCTAGGGCTTAGGGTTTAGAGTTTGGGGCTTAGGGTTTGAGTTTGGGGTTCTTTGGTTTATAGTTTGGGGTTTAAGGGTTACGGCTACATTCCACCTAGCCGAAGGCCTATCGGACCCCGGTTAGGACAGATGAAACTGATAGTCACTATAGTGGGAATAGTAGGTTGTGACCCCATGACTCTTAATCTCAAGAAAAATGTTCTTCTCTCTGTCATTGTTGCTACTACCGCGAATACTGGCATAAACGGAAGGTTATTCATTATTGGATCCACAGGTGTGCCTCTGCACCTCCACCTCGAACTCTTTGAGCGTGGCCTCGAGGATGGGTTCTTGGCGCCTTTTCTGCACACCTGGAGATTTTAAAGTGCAGGGTTTGAGATTCTAAGGTTCAGGGTGCCGGATACTTTCCCCACCCGCCCAGCTGGTTTGGGACAGTACTTCACGTCTAGGAGTTGGGCGTAGAGGCTTCGAGATGAAAGCTAAAGGAACATTGAAGCTTCTTTTCCGGGGCCCTCATAACAAGGGTATTGATACCCCTACAGTAAACCCCAAAAAAGTTGGAAACCGGATTAAGGCCAATTGGTGCTGGGGTTCCCTATACATAAGTCTTAAGGACTGAGGCTATTGGGTTTCCACCTTTTGGGCTTTTACTGTATCTAAATCCGAGAACTGACGGCCTGAATGCTAAACTCTAAACAGGGAATCCGAAGGCCAAGCTGCCAGCCGCGGCGTTCCCAAGGAAGTTCATCACCGAAGATCTGGAGAGCGTTGGGTGCAAAGGCAGGGGCCTTATAATGATACCCTAAACCCAAACCCCCAAACCTCTAAACCCTAAACCCCGAATCTCTAAACCCTACGTAACCCCTAAACCCCCAATGATGGGAAAGGGAAGGACCACCCCTGTTGGTTCGCAGAACGGGTGAAGCTCTGAAGCTCCTGACGACTCGCGCTTCGGAGCTTCAGGGGCCTGTTTAGAGTTTAGGATTTAGGGTTTAGGGTTTACTGTTTAGCTTACAATGGCCTCAACAGTCAGGGTTGTCAAGCAGGCCCGTGTACACCCGGTTCATGCATATCCCGCCCAAAGTCCAACGTTTGGACCCAAATCGGAAATCCCCGAGCTTCCCCCTAGACTCTAGACCAAACCCTTAAACCTTCATAATCCTATACCCGAATCCTAAATAAGACCTAAACCCTCAACCCTAACCTCTTTTCCAAACCGAAAACTCGAGAGCAATGAGACCTGGAAGCTCGAGGAAAGCCGAGCCATGGAGAAAGCGCAGGAGACAGGCTCAAAGGGTTTAGGGTTTTGGGTGTTGGGTTTAGGGTTTTGGGTTTGGGGTTTAGGGTAACGGACCCAAACATTGACGGCTTTTTGCGTGGATCTTGGGGTTCAGGGACCATGCTATGGCTGCTGCGTGTAAGGCCTTTCGGTCGAATTAAGGTCTAGTTGACATCGCTGGAAAAGGCGGCCCAGGCTTGCCAGCGTCATGAAGGTGCCTTAACTGATCGGAATTGGGGTTTGGGGGTTTAGGGTTTAGGGTTTAGGGTTTAGGGTGACGGGCAATATTATACTATCATCAGAATGAGGAATCCTACGGAACAACAGTACGTAGCTTATGACCTGGATAATGAATGATGCTGAAAACCCTGTTCGAAAAATTATAGATCCCCTTATAGGGAACTCTATTGTAGACCCCAAAAATGCAAGAAATACCCCTTACCTCTATAGATTCCTTTAAAAGGGCCGGCTGGAGCCCAAAACGCTCCAGGAGGAGCCTCGCGAGAAAAGGTCGGTGGTAGCGGCGGCAGTGCGTTTAAGGCTCAGATTTAGGATTTAAGGGGGGTTCGGGGGTTTAGGATTTACGGATTTAGGTTTGGGGATTTAGGATTTAAGGATTTAGGGTTTGGGGATTTAGGGTTTCGGGACTCAGGAATTTCAGATTCGGGATATGCAGCTTCATGAATTAGGGCTGAGGGTATTGCAAAACCCTCAAAGAATCTTGTACATCCTGTTGGAACCTGAATTCTCAAGACCGTACTGAGACCCTACAACATCCGATTGAAGGCTTTAGAGGCTCGGGTTTGGCGGGTAGAGGAGGTGTTTGACATCTCATCCTTCTGACTGTTGCTGGTGTTCTTTATGCATTGTCATTTTTTCTCTTTCTACATGTCGGTGCTCACCATACTTGCTATACCGTAACGGCACGAGTTGGCTCCCTCAGACCGCTTGACTACTAGATCCCTTTTGGAAGCCTTAAAGATCCTCTGTAAGGTACCCTGAGACTGTGTTAGGGGTAGTAGTGTCAGAACCTGATTAAGAAACCTTGGGTCTGCATTAGGGCCTTAGGGTTCTTCATATGAATCCTGAGTTGAATATGCTGGGGTTAAAGGGCCGGGCTTTCTTAGTCAGGTTCCTACATTAGATCCCTACAGGTTTATGCTTCTAGGGCCGGAACTTTGGGTACATGTCAGGGAACATCGCGGCGACCCCCCATCAGAAACCTTGATCAGAAGCGAACACGATGGCCCATGAAAACAGCATTAATGCTGAGGGAGTCTACAGAGCGGGTGAAACTGAAATACGGATCAAGTAGCAAGGCACCTAACCATTGACGTAGACAGGATTTATGGCAACACTAGCTGCGTCAACTAGCTACCTAGTATTGATGGCCATGTCCTGCACGATCGCATCCATCCAAGTTGATTTGGAGTCGCTCCACACCTCGCGAGGCTGCCAATGACGAAAGCACAAGATTTGAGGTTTTACAGCGTATGTTGCGTTTTCAGCTTGCGAATTAAGCTTCCGACATCGGACTCAGACAGAGTAACTAACCTGCACACCTGGACCACCTGTCCCTAAGCGAAACTACTTAAACATTACCAGCGGCCTGGGCGCTGCACTGCTACTACTACGCCCGCTGCTCTTGCTAAGGCTCATGCTGCAAAGTGTGTACTGAGGGCTTCGAGGGGGGCGATACGACCGGCATGACCCAAGTTTAACCATTTCTGCAAACACCAAGAGACAAACAGGACCTGTATCTTGTGGTCTTTTCCAGCATAACGAAACAGTACCTTTTTGATTAGGTGATTAGGTACCAAAACTGCCAAAACTCGCCGACTTGCTTGGACCGGCTTCGGCTTCAAGCCGCGGACAACAAAAACAACTACTGCAAGACGAAACTTTGCAATAACGTCAACGATGACACCCCCTGAATCCTGAAACCCTTAACCCTAAACTCTAAGCCGCATCAGGAGCTCATGTGGGAGACCTCCACTGCATCGCCCTTGCGATACGAGGTGCCGCCGATACGCAAACTGAGCGCACAGAATCTTGAAGGGTCGGTTTGGGGTTTAGGGTTTATAGGGATTTGGGGTTTAGGGTTCTAGGGTTTCCGGTCTGGGGTTTTAGGGTGTGGGCTTTACGGTTTGGGGTTTTCGGGTTTAGGGTTTTAGGGTTTTTTTCCCCACCCGCTTCGCTGCTTTAGGGTTTTGGGGTTTAGGGTTTCGGGTAGTCATAGTCTTTGACTCGCAACTCTGGCTTCCTCTCCAGCCAAACGTGTACTCGAATAGAAGTAGCCTCGCGGGCTTGCTCTACACATCTCCGTCCTTCTTTCCATAGAGCCCGAGAGTTAGGGTTAAGGGTTTAGGGTTAAGGGTGAAGGGTTCAGGGTTTCTATCTCTCTCTCTCTCTCTCTCTCTCGCTCTCTCTCTCTGTCGCTCTTGATGCGTTTCTGGCTCCCCCATCTCTCTCCCTCTGCTGCCGCGCTCACGCTCGCTTCTGCTCCTAGGCTCCCTGTGAAACGCATGAAAGACTAAGCAGGGCTCATGTCTTCACCGGAGGACGTGAGTCTAGGGATCTGGTCGGCTAGGGTTTGGGGCCTTAAGGTTTTCGGTTTGGGGCCTTAGAGCTTAGGGTTTAGGGTTTAGGCTTCACGGGACGACTTTTCTGGTGAATTGGCGGCTGCAGCCTTAGGACGCAGCCATGCTGACATGCTGTGAGACGGGGCCGGTCATCCGACTGCAGATGAACCGCGAAGCCTCACCCTAAGCCCTTAATCTAGGAGCAACTGTGAGGGCGGCTTAGTTCCATCCTGTCCTATTAGGAGTAGCCATATTGATTGGGGCATCAGTATCATGTTGATAACTATGATTATATGACTATCATTGTTAGTATAGTGTTTTTATTAGTAGTACGATTCCTGGTATTAAATCTTACTGTTATATAGCATGTTCATAAGTTCATATGCAACCATCAGTGATCTTATTCAGAACGGCTCCCTGAGACGAGAGCGGACGATGCAGGAGCTCCAGGACCTTAAAAGTGCTGGAGCTCCTGCATTGGGCTTCGGGTGAGACAAGTGTTTACTGTAGGCGTTTCTCCCTTTTTGTTAAGGGTTCAGGGTTTAGGGTTTAGGGTTTAGGGCCACTTTGGGGCTTTAGGTCTAGGGCATAGGGTTCTGTAGGGGTTTGTGTCTTTTTGTTACGGGTTTCAGGTGCCTAAACCCCGAAGCATCTTCGGCACCTGGTCTCCTCCCTCCTCACTCGAGCAGCAGCGGTGGAATTTCTGGAATTTCGCCTGCACAAGAGCCACACAGTCTTTGAAGAGCAGAGCATGAGAAAAGTTGACGCGGGCAGTTGCAAAGCCACTGTGGCACAACCAGGCAGCATGCCACACAGTCTTATACGGCATCCTTGGAATCACCAATCTTTACTAGAACCGATTCCCTGACTCGACTCAATAGCCCTCAAAGTGACCTGAGGACCAACCATGCAAGTCAATACGCTAGCGTTGCCAAAGACAGAAGAGCCAGAACGACCCGACACCTGGAATCTGGCAAGAGGGCTTGTAGCTGGACACTTTCATGCATATGAGAAAGAGGCTCCTTAAACTCCAACCCCCAAACCTGAAGATCGGCCGTAAACATTAACCCTTACACCTTTAGAGCTTTGGCCTGCACCCTGGGAACCCACACGGTTGGGGTTTAAGGTTTAGGGCTTTACAACCCCATAGAATCCGGGACTCTCAGTCTTATATAAGCCTGCCTGGGAAAGGGCACTCTGAAGATATGGGTAGTTTTCTATAGTCGGGTCCCTTTTAGCGTCCTTTTCATAAGGGTGCCGTACGACATTGGGGATCTAAACAGGGTATGTTGCCTTAACCCGAAACTGGAAATTCCTAGAGTCGCACGGTCCCGCCACAAGCTCTCTGAAGCCCGACTCCGCCACGCAAATCGGTAATCCGAAACCCTGAACCGAAACCTGAAATCGTCGGGTTCATGTTTTTTTGAAAGCATCGTTTCAGTTTTGAGGCTTGCAGAATCCGACACCGAAACCACAGCTGCCATCGACAAAAACAAGGCGTCGATGCAAGTATGTAGGGTTGGGGTTCAGGGGCTTCGAGCATCGCCGTGAATCCAGCCACGGGTAACGGCGCCGCTCAACCTTACTTTCTCCTCCGATAAACGTCATTGGCAAATGCGGTATAGGGGCTTTCCAGCAAGCACAGTCTGTTTTCTGCCCACCAATCATTGGCATCGGCACACGGCAAACATGGTTCGCCAAAGTAGAAAGCCAGCAAGAAGCTAACCCCCCCCCCCCGTTTAGAACCGTTGCAAAACAACGTAAAGCCCTACGAGACTTGTTGCAAACCCGATGGAAATCCTGCAGAGCTCGATAAAACCTTTCAGAAGCCCATTAACAACCCTGTAAAGCTCTGCAAAATTCCAGGGAGAAATCCCTAAACCTAAACCCTCACCGCCCTGCCGTACCTTCAGTATTATGCACTTTTCCAGAGCCTGTCAGCATCGCCAAAGCCGCCGCCCCCTGTGGCTCGGCTCCAAATGCCAGCACTCGGTCCTGGGATCCATTCCAGCTTCAGGATTCTGATAAGGGTACTGAAATTTTGAAATTTGCGGCTTAGGGTCTTTAACGATATTGATGTATTGCTTGTTTTGTCTATGCTTGTTTTTACAGGCTCTATGACTGCTTAGGATGCCTCCTTTGGTATTCCGTCGATGAAAAGACATTGGATACACGAGCACACAACAGATATCACGAACCCAAGCCCTGCACCATCCACACCGCGAGAACGATACCAGCCAGGATTCGGCACAGCATCGCTGTCGATGATGACCTGCTACGTGTCCTCCGAGGCTGGTTTTTCGGACCACTTAGTTGCACATGACAAATGGTCTGCCGATACAAGTGCCTTGAGCAGACCACCATTGCCAAGCAGTCACCAAGTCGGCATTTCTCAAAATTGGGAGTATTTTGCACATGGCGCAAACGACAGTGAGACATTGACAGCCACCGAAACCTCGGAAATTAAACATCCTTCACGAGCCATAAAACACTCGATGCCTGAAGCCCTCACACCATCAAAGAGAGCCCGATACCAAACTCCAACATCTGCTTTAAACATGAGGAATATTCCTGATTTATGGGCACCGGGCCCTCTCTCTGACACTCTCTCTGTCGGTACCCTGAAGACCACCCCTCAACGGTCCCTCAATCTAGCTATACCGCAATGTACAAGCCCTACTGTAATTGGCAAGACCCCTATATTATTGAACCCTATGCAAAAACCTCTCCTGAAGGGCTTGCAGAACCCAATGAACCATTGTTTACTTTCAAAGACCTTCATCTATATATTATATCCCAAAATCCTAGACCCGGAACCCGTAAACCCCAAATTAACCCCTAAACCCCGAAATCCTAACCCTAAGCCCTGACTCACCCCTAAACCCTAAACCCAATTGATACCTCCCTAAAGCCAACCGCAAGTCCCCTAGCTAAACCCTTTTTTACATCTGGACTATGCATATGCCAGGAACCGAGGCGCCGACTGTGCTGAACCCTAAAGCCCAAACCAAAACCCCAAAACCTTAAAACGTAAAGCAAAAGCCTGAACCAAACATCTTCAACCAAAAGCCTAAACAAACCCAAAACCCGGTTAGGGTTTAGGGTCCCTAAACGAAAAACCTCATCCCTGGAAGCCTAAACCCTCAGTCGGCCTCGCCAGGCTTGGATCTCTGACCGAGGCTTTCCGACGATCTCGGGCCACTTCAGCCACCCGCCTGCCGTTGATCAGCTTTCGGCTTTTGAGCTTCTTGTTGGGCTTTGGGCTCGTGGGGTTTACATAGGGTTGATATATGAACCTCGACCATGTGATTGCTCGTGTGTGTGTGTGGCTACAAATGGAAGCGGAAAGCCCTGTAAATAACGACCGATTTCGTGTTCATGGACACTATCTACAATCCCGATGTGTCTTGCTGAAGTGGTAAACAGGAAGGTCCAGTTTTTGCTTTATGTCTATATTTATCGTGACATCATATAAGGTGTGATGACCTATCTCTGTTCCCGTCTTGTGTGTTACTCTCAGAGGCCATACTGCTGCATCTAAAGGGTCTGCTGGGGCACGCGCACACAAAACATATGTGCGAGTTTGTTTGGTTGAATATCGTTGTCTTTATTAGTCTTCGTCTTACGTTTCATCCTAATCCTAGTTAGTCTTATTCTTAGTAATAATGTTAACATTGGTCTTGACCTAGTCTTGATAGTACTTTTATTCTTAGTATTGCTATTTTCATGGATTTAGGGAGCTCCCTAAACTACCTAAATTCCCTCACCATGAACGGGAACACATGCATCCTACCCATGGGGTTCAACATTTGGGAATTTAGGGGATTAGGAAAG